TGGCGGCTACCCCTGGCCATGTAAGAGCTCCGTTACTGGAGGTAGAGTAGTTTTCCCATCTACAAATTAAGTTGACCACTCTTAAATCCCACCCCCAATAGATTTCATGAAGATTTCACATATAGGCTTGTTGAAGTTGTTTTGCGTTGGGCTGAGATAAATATAGGTTCCAAGTTATGAGCATTAGACATATCAGTCAAACAACAAATAAGTCATTGGATTGGACTTTTTCTTTAATCAAAATCCAATCAAATCAAATTATCCAAGTCAAACCCATGAAACAAACAAGCTGTTTGTGTATTAATCATAAATCATAATGACTACAAGATAATGGTGAGATTAGCAATAGGAAAACATAAAAAAAGGTAACACATTTCACGAGCATCTTGCTATTGCGACGACATCTATAGAGAGTTAGACATATAAAGCCTTACTCAAATGTGAAAAAAAATATTTTGGCATATATATTGACATATATAAAAACAACTCTCTTTTACCTATAGAAAAAAAGAGGAGGGAGAACCCACAACTCACCAAGTGCTGTTGTCTTATGTGCCAATAGGGCCCGTCTGGCCCGTTATGAGGCTTACTAGGTGCCATGGGCTTCGATACCCACACATTCCATATTTTGTAAGGGGGTCAATTGTTTTCGTTAACACAAACTCAATTCGAACTGAATCGACACGAGCATGAAAATAACATGATTAGTTGACACGAGTAATAAATAAGTCAAATTAAAGTTCGATACGAATAACATAATTAATAAGTACAATAGATAGAAAATAATTATTTAACGAGTATTGTAGATAGAAAATAAGAATTTGTTAATTTTTTATAATTTTTTAAGCAGTATTATATTAGTTGTTGTCAAATTAAATAATTTTTTATTAACACAAATATTGACACGAACCCGATACGTACTAAAAGTAATACGATACGAAAATAACACGACCAAAAGTGATACGACACAAAAATAATACTACACGACACGATTGACACCCTAATATTTTGTGGCCCTATCTAGGGCTTTTCGTAATCAAAGGTCAATTCATTGACACTAATGAAAAAATTAACGAAAAGATAGCAAAAAAATTACATTGCAACATTTTTAATACATTGAGAATGTAATATGAAAAATCTTTTAAGGTATAAAGTGAAAACTTGAAATCATTCGAGGTACAAATTGCAATTCGCCCATAGGACCGTTGATGAATGATGAGGGAAAACACAAAACTTCAGGGGCTGAAGTGCAAAACAATATTAGCGAAATTTGGAGGGTCTTTTTGCAAAGAAGCGTGCGACTTAACCAACTACCACACGATTACTAGGGTTTTACAGAAACCACTTCGACCGAATTCGGTAGTCCATTGCTGTTTGCCCCCAAGACCCTTGGAAAAGTCTCTTGCTGAATCGAAGAAGATGGACAAAGGAATGCTTGGAGACTTGGACTCCCTTCCCGAGGAGGATAAGGTTAGAATGACCGCCATGATCGACCAGCTCCAGATCCGTGATAGGTTATCTCTCTCTCTCTCTCTCTCTCTCTCTCTCTCTCTCTATATATATATATATATATAT